TTTTCACCCTCACCATTATTTTTCTAGAATATTTTAGAGCAGGGAAATTATGTCATTCTACCCATAAATACTTCAATAGACATTTCTAACTGTAGGATTGTTTTTAAAACATATTCACCACGCAAAGCTAAAAATAAATTCTTAAGATTATCTAATACCATATTTAAATTTCCATGTTATTTCAGAATTGTTGTTTCACAGTGGTTACCAGGGGCTGGGGGTGGAAGCAACAGGGAAGTGTCTGTCAAAGTCCATGAAGTTTCAGATACTCAGGATGGGTAAGTTCTTGATCTCATGTACAGCAAGATGGCAACAGTTAACAACACTGTACTGTGTACTTGAGATTTGCTAGGAGAGCAGATCTTTTTAAAAAAAAATTTCCCCAGGAGAGATCTTAAGTGTTCTTACCAAAAGAAGAAAAAGAAGAAGAAGAAGAAGAAGAAGAAGAAGAAGAAGAAGAAGACTACATGAGGCAAGAGAGATGTTGATTAGCTTGATTGTGGTGAACTCTTCGCGATATATTTTATAAGGGGTGTCTCCTTGTACACGTTAAATATATGCAATTTCTATGCATTTTTGTCAGTTATACCTCAATAAAGCTAGGGAAGAAAGAAATGTCATTTTCTAGCTGATTTGTTCAAATCAGGATCCAAATGAGGTGTACATATTGCCTGTTTGTTGTCTCTTAAGATTTTATAATTCAGTTTTTGTATGCCATTGATTTGTTAGAGAAACCAAGTTGTTTATCCTTTCTGATTTGGCCATTTGCTTTATTGTGGTAGTGTTTAATTTCTCTGTTCCCTGTATTTTTTATAATTTGTTTTCAAACCTTAGACACCTGATTAGATTCAGGTTAAATTTTTTTCTTTAGCCAAAAATACATCACAGGTGATGCTGTACACTTCCTAGTACATAGTGTCTGGATATCCCAAATTTAGTGGCGCTAAGGCTGGTCAGTAGACTCAGAGGTGTCAACCTGACCCTTCATTACAAAGTACCTTATCAATCTTACCTGATGATTTAGCCTCTGTTGATGATTATTGCTTACCTCTATTATTGCATAATAGTGAATTTTCTACTTTTATCATTTCTTCTTTATTAGCAGGAATTCTTCTATAAAGAAGAATTTCCCCCTCATTAATTATCTGATAACCCTGGAAAAACAATTTGTATATAAAAGACAAAATATGCTTGATTTGTCCTCTTTATAAATATTCAGAGTCATGAAATGGTACACTAAGAACCACTCAGTGACACTTTTGTTTAGATAAATTTATGGATTTTATGTATTTAGTGTGTTTAAATCCATTGCAGTTATTATTCTTTCTGATACTCACATTGTCTCATCTTAAGCCAAATGGGAGTCCCTTCAAGGTGGCCCCTACATTCTTTTGGCATGACTCTCCTTGATGTAAGATGAGCCTGGGACAGCTTTCTCTCTCTAAAATTTTTTATTTAAGGTCCAGTTAGTTAACATCCAGTGTAATATTAGCTTCAAGTGTACAACATAGTGATTCATCACTTCCACATATCATCCGGTGCTCATCACAAGTGTATGCCTTAATCCCCATCACCTATTTAACCCAACCCTTCACCCACCTTTTTTTCTGGTAACCATCAGTTCAAGACATCTTTCTTGATAACTTCTTAGATTTCATGTTCTGGATATCCAACCACTATTTCTCCATGGATGCTTGGTTCTTTTCAACAGAAAATGATATTTAGAGATCACAAACTGAGTACTAGGGTTGCTCATTACTATTGAGTCATCATTGTTTCTAGGTCTTTTGGCTGACAGAGCTTTTTTTAAGGAAAAAAATTAAAAGTTCACATTGATATTCCCAAATCAAATTTAAGATAACATGATTTTGGGGTGCCCGGCAAGCTTCGTGAATAGAGCATGAGACTCTTAATCTCAGAGTTTGTGAGTTCAAGCCCCACATTGAGTATAGAGATTACTTAAAAAGAAAAAAAATAACATGATTTTTACTTGATTTGTTTGATATTTATGTGTATTTTTCTTATGCTAAAAAGTTTAGCTCTGATGACATTACCATAATTATTTGTTTAAGCCTAAAATACACCAATAACAGTTTCAGAGTAGCAATATTAGTAAAATTACTGACTACAATTTATTTCTCCCCATTTCTTTGCCACAAAAGGTAACACACAAAAACACAAAAGCATTTTGATTTCTTCATTTAACATGTTTTGATGATCACTGCCTATTGTTATATAGAGCTCTCTCTTTTTTATAGCTGCACGTTACTCCGTTGTGTGGATGTTTATCTTTAATGTTTCTGACAACTTTACTTTATTCCTCATGTTATTGTCTGTTGAATGCTTGTAATAACCTACATATTCTAGATAGGTTATAATTAAACCATAATTCCTAATAATCTGGCTAACTTGAGTCAGAATGCAAACACTGGAAAATGTGTAAATTCCCAACTAAACATAGTAGTTTGAATACCCACTGAGAAAGGAAAAAGGACTCCAACAATGTAGGGTGGAAGACTGTAGCCTCAAATTGTCTATAATCTGTCATTTTACCGCTAGCTAAAAAATGGCTACAATTTGTTTTAACACAGATCCCCTGGAAATAGAGCCTGAAGCAAAAGGTAATATGCTAACACTTAATAATTTTGAGGGTGAGGAGTCATGTGCAATCCCAGGGAAGTAGAAGCGAGGGGAATGGGAAACAAAGCAGAGAAGGAAGGAGAGCAAGCGCATGGAGTATGTTCTGAGCTTGCCTCCTTTCCCCCACAGACATTGCTGGTATCATAGCAGTGGAAGTGCACTCCGCACAACTTCCTCATTTCTTACTTGTGTTACCCAGCCCTGGCAGGCTGGTGGCCAGGCATGAGGGTCTCTCCTTGTCAGTCACCTTTATGTGTGGGGGCTTTTGGTGACAGGGGAGGTAGCAGTAACAATGGTCACACTTCAACACAGCATAGTAGGCTTCTTCAGCCATGAAGTTGAGGTAGGTCCAGCCAATCAGGAGTTGTGTATAAACTGGGTCTGATTCACAATTCAAGATGAAATCCACTTGTGATGAGCACTGCATGTCATATGTAAGCGATAAATCACTAAATTCTACATCAGAAACCAATATAACACTACATGTTAACTAACTGGAATTTAAATAAAAATTTGGAGAAAAAAATGAAATCATCTGAATCTTCTGTCCTTTCTTGGGAATATTTGATAAAAAAAATTTGTTTTGGGCATAGAGCTAGAAAACATCTCAAGAAGTCACATAATACTTTTCCTTGACTTTAACCAGACAATAAATTATTTTATTTTGAAAATTCTGAAGGGTATTTCACAATTTCCCTGACTAGCCCATCTAGTATTTAAACTAGTGTTTTAAACCTTAAAAACATCAGGCTATTCTCTTTAAGCAACTTGTAACTTAGATGAATAACCTCCCAGCAAATAAAAATGCTAGCCATTTAAAAAATCTAAAACTTATGATAATTAGAGGGTGATAAAGAAAAACTGTCTCAGACCTGATCTGGGTTTTGTATGATACAATTCACAACTTCCTTTTAGGCAAAAGTCAGCATTTCTCATAAAATGTATTATAATCAAATTATGATAAATTCTAATAGAATTAAATATTCCAGGAAATTAACTTATTTCACTCTCCATAGATTGTTGGTCAAAAGTTTAATAGTTTTTAACCAAATAATTTTTTTTTGTATTAGTTAACTGGTCACTTTTTTTTTTTTTTACTAAATGTCTCTTTTTTTTATTTTATTTATTCATGGGAGACACAGAGACACAGAGAGGCAGAGACATAGGCAGAGGGAGAAGCAGGCTCCATGCAGGGAGCCCCACTTGGGACTCAATCCCAGGGCTCCAGGATCACACCCAGAGCCAACTGCTGAGCCACACAGGCATCCCTAAATGTCTCTAATTTAAATGAATCTTTAAATTGGCCTGTTTTACATCTCTTCTCTTATGGCAATTTCGAAATAAAACTTCAATACCTACTCATCATTAAATTCTCTGAAAGGTTTTTTTTAAAACTCTTGAGGTTCAGATATCAAATGTACATAAATATTGTTGTAGTAATAGACATGATTAAATTTTTCCCTTAATGATATCGATTGTACATGTTTGTGTATGTGTGTATCCGACATTCTGTCTCACTCTGATTAGTACATTATAGTGGCAATAATATTAGGAATGTATGAGAGAAAAGGTTCTGCTCAAAGACTACAAAGTAGCTCAAGCTAATTCCTTGACATGTCATGCTATCCCTACGGTAAACATCTATTGATGTGGCAGGAAGGAACGGGAGAGTGAGAGGAAGAGAGAAAGAAAAGATATTTCATGCAAACCCCTCTCTCACCATTGGGTAACATCATTACCTGTGTAGTAAAAACACAGGTGCTCACTACATCTTTTTTGAATCAAGGAACCAAGGACTATTGCTCTGGGACTGTTAGATACTGCACACTTGCTTGGAGGCAAAGAGATGAATATATCTTCCCGTTCTATGATTCTGGGGTTTCTTTGACTACTAAAAAGTTGGCTAGATTGCAAATGTAAAGTCTGAGAAGAAAAAAATGCTTTCAGATGAAAGGCAAGGAGAAAATACTGAACGGGTCCACTCCAGCGCCAGGGAAGCCTAATGAATATCATTATCATTGACATGGTTAGGCAGTGTGAACTCATAAAAGCCGTGTCTGGCAAGAGCACTACCCTGTGCCTGGAATAAGAACTTTGTGCCAACATCGATGCCATCCAATATGAGCTGTCCTGCTTCCAGTTGTGCACATAAGAATGCAGGCGGCCACCTCTCCGATGTAGTTTCTTGCACGGATCAGAAAAAACTGCTGAAGTCATGAGGCTGCTCTGCTCAGAGCCCTCATGTGAGTCATATGAAAGCTCCAGCGGTGCTGACCTCTGGCAGAGAGGGAGTGGAGGAGGACAAGAGAGGCAGAGGGGAGAGGTTCCAGCGCGGGTTTTCTCCTTGAACCTAGAAGATTATGGGTCAGGAGCTGTGTACAAGGACTGCCCGGCCTGGCTGCAGCTGCCACCGCTGCGGGGAGGGAGGCGATGCGCACAGCGGCCGGGGACGGTGCCGGAGCCTGGGCCGGCGGCGGAGGCTGCAATCCAGGTATTTGCATCACAGGAGAAGCATCTCCCTCTGCTGAGAAACTAAGGAGTTCAGAGACTCCCTTTCTGAAGCATGGTCAGATTTTTCTGCGGTAGGTCTAAACCCATAAAAGGAAAATCCTATTAAAATCACAGAGAATTTATGGCTGTTGTTATCAAATTTGGGGATGTTCTTGTAAACCAAAAGGGAAAAATAATCAGATGCTTTGGGCCGCACAAAACTCCTTAAAGTTGAGAAAATAATTATTCTCTTGTAATCTCTCAAGTACTATATTACAGAGCTGAGCCTCAGAAAGCAGGCTGCAGTATTGGTATGCTATGGATTCAAAATCTTGATGATTCCCCAAAAAAGATAAATTAAGAGGACATGAGAAAAAAAAAGGCTGAGCTAACAGAAAAATTGGAAACCATCCATCAAAGGATTTAAATTAACTGAAGTGTTTAAGACATATTTTTAAGTGAAGAAAGAATGTAGAGTTTCTACAGTTGATATCATTATGGTCTTTTTTAAGGATCTGGCTTTCAAGAAAGAACTTGCTTTTGGGGGGTGTAGGAGGCTTAGAAAAACATCTGAAGAGTGACAATCAGACAAATGAAGAAAAAAACGGTTTATGCTAGCCACTGAGTCTTGACTTTGCATAAATTTTATTCATGTACTTTCCTTTTTCTTTAGCTAACAGACCTAAAAGAAGCATCATGTTCCATGACTTCATTTCACCCCAAGGGACTTCAGGCTGTGCATGCCCGGAAGTGCAAGAGTAAAAGGCCACGGAGTAACAGTGATTCTTTTCAGGAAGAGGATCTGAGGCAGGGTTTTCAGTGGGTGAGTGAACAGCTGATGTGGATGAAGAAGAATTTAATATGTACTTGTCTGGGGATGTTGGCCCTTACTTCCAGGGCAGTTACTAAGAGGGCCTTCCCAGGTATACTCTGGCAATAATGTCTAATTTCTCTGGGGGATAAAAGTCACCTTAAAAAAGAAAAGTGTTCTTTCTCTCTCTCCCATCTCTCACCCCTCCCCAATCCCCTCAAGCAGAAGAGCCTCCCTTTTGGGGCAGCCTCATCTTACCTGAACTTGGAGAAACTGGGTGAAGGTTCTTATGCTACAGTTTACAAGGGGATTAGCAGGTGAGTGACTCATAGCTGGGAAAAACTCTGCAGATGAGGATCCAACCCCCTCTGATTTAAAATTATAGAGCCAGGTGACACACGGCAGAAGTTCAGGACCTGTGCAAGACACTATGGTCAACACAAAGAGACAAGATGATTTAAATAGCCTTGCAAGAAAAATAAATTTCTCTTGCCCTAATTAAAATCAGCCCCCTGAGATGTTTATCAGCTTTTCCTCTCCTTTATTGAATTCAAAGTATAATTTTTCTACAACTGACCCAAAGAACAAGCACCACTCTTCACAAATGCAATCTCTAAAGGGTTTTTCATATTTCTCTCTAAAACACAATGGCAGAAGGTTGTAATGGCAACCCTGAGTTTGCTCCTTCATTCCTTTTTTACCTTCCTGGAAGAAACCAAAGTTGGCTCCTACAATGTAGGATATATGCAAAAAATTATTAGTCCTGGGATGTGTACACTTGCAAAATATACAAGATGGCTGGAGGATAAAAATAATGCTAATGCAGAAGCCAGGTGCCCATTTTGGCTAACGAAATTTGCTAAACATATGTGAAAGATCCACAAACTTCATTGCTTTTTAGTCAAGGTGGGAAAGTCAGAGGTCTGATTTCTTTAATTTATGTTACTCCAGTGGAAAAAAATAATGTCTCAATAGTGTCTATTTCTTTTTTTTAGGATTTTATTTATTTTATTCATGAGAGACACACACAGAGAGGCAGAGACATAGGCAGAGGGAGAGAGACACAGGCCCTGAGAGGAGTCTGATAAGAGGCTTGGTCCCGGGACCCTGGGATCACAACCTGTGCTGAAGGCAGACACTCAACCACTGAGCCACCCAGGTGTCTCTCAGTAGTGTTTAAATGTTTATTTAAAAAATGTAATATAAATATTGCAAGGCTATGTATTATTTATACTAGCAATCATGTTATTATTTATACATGTTGAAACTATAAAGTATCATTTTAAATATATTGTTAATTGAATTCCATAGACTATCTTAGGAATTAAGAATATGAAATATTTCCTTCGAGGAACTCACCTGAGTAATAAGATAAAAAATACGTTGGAAATACATGTTTAAATGCATAGAGATATATGTACAAGTATATTCACTGCAGCAAAATTTATAATAGAAAAAGTAAAAACCTGGTCACTTCATTAATGGAGGACTGGCTAAATAATCAACATGCAGTGAAATAATGTGCAGCCAACTAAAACATAAGGTAGACATACAAATATGAAAGATGTCCAGTATTTTAAAAGATAAAAAGAAAGTTACAGAACAATATATACCCTATATTCTCACTTGGAGAAAAAACACCCCAATGTACCATTCATGTATAAATTTATACGTGCATAGAGGAGTCAGGAAAAATGCACAAGAGATTGTGAAAAGCCACTTCTAGTGGTTGAAAATGTGGTAGGGAAAGAGATTACTCAAACTTTTCACTTTATTCTTTACCATAAAGGCATTACATTTATCGTTTAAAAATATCATAGAGATAGGTGCCAAGTAAGTTCAACATCAGTTGCAAGTTTTTAAAGCTCTGAGCAAAATAGGGATAGAATAATAATTCCTCATTATGATGTAGAATATTTCAAATCAATAATCCACATACCTTTTTTGTTAAATACTAGAGATATCCTCATTAAGTTAGAGATAGGGTGAGAATGCTCATTATCTTTACTGTTAAAGATTATTGTAAATATTCTAGCCAATGCAATGACAAAAAAAAAAAAGACCAAATAACACTTCCATGGATTACAAAATTGTCTACCTGAAAAACCCAAGAGAATCACCTCAGAAACCAGTAGAAGCAGTAAGATAGAATGGTAAGGTGATCAGTTATAAAGCCAAAATACACTTATCAAAAGTTGTCTTATGTATTAGCAAGAACCATTCAATAGAAAATATAGTAAGGGAAGTTACTCTTACAATATCAACAATAAAATCATTAGTATCAAAAAACGAGCAAAGGTTTACTAAGGGACATAAAGATCTGAGAAAGAGCTAGACAGGCATTCATTCATTCTACTAATATTTATTAAGTACATAGTATGTGCCAGGCACTATCTCAGTCAATAAAGATTCATTGGAGAACAAAGAAGACAAAACCCTCTACTCTTACGGAATGTACATACTAGTCAGGATAAGGTAGGCAATAAACAAATTAATGATAGACTGAGTTTGTCAAAGAATGAAAAGTGCTTTGGAAAAGAATAGAACAGTGAAGTAGGATAGGTATGCCAGAGGGTGGTGGGTGGCTATTTTAAATAGTGGGATGAGAAGGGCACAGACTCTGATAAAGGTGAGGCATGAGCTGTGTGCATGAATAGTGGAAGAGAGCCTCATGCAGAGAGAATAGCAAGTAAATCCCTGAGGCAGAAATACGCAGGACATTGGAGGGAAGAGGAGAAAGAGATGAGGACAGGGGAGAGCTGCAAATGCAGTATCGGGTATATAAGATCTTGTGGATTATTCCAGAGACCATTATAAGCACAGACTATTTGGGTTAGAAAATCTATTAGTGAAAAGGTGTCAGTGATTATTTAATTTCAAGTTTTAATATATTATAAATATGTTCAAACGCTATAATAATTGAAACAGTGTGGTAAAAGAAAAGACAAATTAAAGAAGTATGATTTTTTTAAGTCCAAAACAATCACAAACCCAAGTATTAGTAAGATATAATATATAATCATGGTAACCATTCAGATCATCAGAGAGAGAAGATAGTCCAATAAACAAAGCTGGGATAATCATTAGCAACTTGGAAAAAGTAAATACATAATATGAATTCCTAGTAGATTAAAGAGCTAAATGAAAAAGAAAAGGTAAGAATTAGAAGAGTAAGTAAAGGAATTCTGTGTAACCTTTGGGCTGGAAAGATCCGTCTATACATAATACTGAAGTTGAAGTCAGAACCTTTAAAAGAAGATTAGAAGTATCCATGGTGTCTCTTCTACCCATGAATGTTCTAGGGAGTCCTAGTTCTAAGAGGCCTTAGTAGATGTTTCATTAAAACACTTGCCATTGTCAAACTGTTGCAGGGAACACTAAAACAAAATTTAAAAATGTGATTCTTTATTATAAGTGTTCTCAGCATCTTTAAAATGTTAATGTATAACATGACTGTTTAAGAAAAAAATTTAAAGTATAAAGCATTTTCTAAACATACTTGACCAAAAAACTGTTTTGGTGGGTGGGGAGAATTTCACAGAAGTATACTGCTCTTTGTGAAACATTTTGGAAAATATGGAACTTCATAAAAATTTTAAAGTTCAAAATTTTCAAGACATATTAAACTAGACCAAATAAATTGGTCAAAAGCATATGCAAAATATTTCAGTAATAAGCTAGGCAAATAGGCAAATCACAAAAGAATGGAAAAGACCAATAAACTTGAGAAAATTTGGGTCCACAATTAGTTGAAGAAATCAAAATTAAAATGTGATAATCCTTTTTTAGGCAAATTAAATAGGAAAAAAAATGAAGATAGATGTATGAACCCAAGAAACAAACCCCATATTTATGGGGGTATGTCAGAGGGATGCAGGAGCCAATTGAAAGGACTCCCAAAGGACAAAACTGGAAAACTTTGGTTTTTAACCCAAAGTGTAATATAAATATCTATGAATCTATGCTAATATAAATGAATGGCTCAGTAAATTAATACATGAGAGAGAAGAGACAAATTTCCTGTGCAGAATAATTTAAATAATTTATGTAAATAACCCACCCTGTAAGAGGTGGAGCATCAATCCCCACACCTGAAGTGTGGGCTACTCATAGTGACATTCTTCCGAAAGCACAATGGGAAGAGAGTGGAAGAAGAATAACTACAGTGAAGAAAACTGACAGACACTACCCCAGCTGGTGATTAAGGTCAAAAGTCATACATTCTGAGGATAGTATGTACCCTTAACATAATGTGATGAAAATGATTCTTTACCCTCTCAAAAACCATGACCTCAGTCTAATCAAAAGAAAAACATCAAAAAAAAAAAAAGAAAGAAAGAAAGAAAAGAGAAGAAAAAAAGAAAAACATCAGAAACATTCCAACAGAGAGGTATCCTACAAAATTCTTTACCACTACTCAAAACTGTCAAGGTCATCAAAAACAAGGAAAGTCTGAAAATCTGTCACAGCCAACAGAGGCTAAAGAGACATGACAACTGTATATGTGGTGTCTTCGATGGGATCCTGAAACAGAGAAAGGACATTAGGTCAAAACTAAAGAAATCCTGATAATCCTACTGTAACATATAAATGTATCAAAGCAACACATTGAATACCTTTAACCTACAAATGCTGTATGTCAATTCTTATTTTTTTTTTGGAATTTATTTATTTGAGAGAGTGAGAATGAGAAAAAGCAGGGGAAAGAGGCAGAGGGAGAGGGAGAAGCAGACTCCCCTCAGAGCAGGGAGCCTGACATGGGGCTCCATCCTAGGACCCTGGGATCATGACCTGAGCCGAAGGCAGATGCTAAACCTACTGAGCCACCTAGGCACCTTGCTGTATGCCAATTATATCTCAATTTCAAAAAAGACTAAGATAGATAAATTAACTGGTTTAATAAACTCATACATATCTACTGTGATATTTTTTTGTGATATTTATTTTAAAAGAGATAAAAAGAAAGCAGTTTGAAATCAAATGGGAAAACCATAACAAACTTATAAATGCTGTAGAAAAGAAAAAAAAGGAATTTATAACAGCAAATAAATTTTTAAAACTTAACAATCATCTATAATCCATCACTCTAGCACAGCAATTACACATGCACATTTCATCTTCTACTTGCACACAAATTATTTAAAGTCACAAACATGGTATGCTTGCTATTTTGTATTATATTGTTCATTTTATTATGAATATTTTCCACTTTCTACATGTCTCTTAACTTAAGCTGTGTCATGAATTCAAAGTATCCTATTGTACTGATGTACCACACATTTTCTTCTAATGTTCTAATTTCAGCTATTTCTATTTTGTTCTATTGTAACATAGTAGATAATATCTTACATGCATTCGGATTTTTAAAAATCATTATCAAATAAGCTTATTGGGAAAAAATTCCTGGGTCTGGTACTTTCATGGCTTTTCCTGTGTATCGTCATGTGGCACGGCCCCCAAATTTTACCAGTGTACAATGCAACCCACAATAAACAGTACAATTTTACTGCAAAGGCTAAAGAATTCTTAATAAACTCTAAGCTCTAGTTAATAATAATGTATCCATACTGGTTCATTAATTATAACAAATGTATCATACCAATATAGTAATAGTAGAAGAAACTGGATGAAGGGGGTATGTGAGAACTCTCTGTACCACGTTCTCAATTTTTCTATAAATCTAAAACTGTTCTAAAAAAGAAAACAAAAAGCCTGCCCAGTGTTGTCAAGAAAGTGCTGGAATGGCCACTCTCAGTTAGTGGTGTGATCACTCTGTGGCATAATTTGGGAACATGTGTTCAAAATAAAAACTTGGGCACAGCTTACTCTGACTTAGAAATTCCAACTCTACCCTAAGAAAAGAATAGGGGCTATTGATCTACAAACACGACTGTGACTGTATTTTTATAATGATCAAAACAAACCACTTAAAAGCATTTAAAAACACACTGTAGGGCAGCCCGGGTGGCTCAGCGGTTTAGCGCTGCCTTCAGCCCAGGGCCTGATCCTGGAGACCAGGGATCGAGTCCCCTGTCGGGCTCCCTGCATGGAGTCTGCTTCTCCCTCTGCCTGTGTCTCTGCCTCTCTGACTCTCTCTGTGTCTCTCATGAATGAATAAAATATTTTAAAAAATAAAAAAATAAATAAAAACACACTGTAGTATATTTATATGGTGAAATAGCATATTATTATTAAATATCACATAGTAGAAGAATGGATAAAAGAAAAATTGGATGGAGGAAAAGCAGGTTACTGCTAACATGATATAAATCCCACTGTATTAAAAATAATATATTTATACTTGCATTAAAATCTCAGTTCTCCAGAACTTCACTTTATATCAGTGAACAAAACAATGAATAAGGGGACAGCAGGAGGCGATTAAGAGAGAGAGGTAGTGGTGGGGCTGGGCATATCAGGGGGCACCTAAGAGATGGTTGTAAAAAATTTTTATTCAGAGTGAAATGTGAAGATAATGTGGGTTTTGAGCAGAGAAGTGATTTGTTCTGACTTTCCCTTAAAAAGGGTGCCCTGGGCTAGTCTGTTGAGAGTAGACAGTAGGGGTCTAGTAGATATACAAGCAGAGAAACTGTTAGGAGGTCACTACAATAATGCAGATGGAAAATAAGGATGGCTTAAAGCACACAAAGGGAAATGAAAAGAATAAAACACATCGAATATTATGAGGATGAATTTGGTAGGGGCAGGATTCTGTACTTTTCTGTATTCTCCAAAGTTTCTGTAATGAGCCTATATCACTTTGGTAAAAAGAAAAAAAAATTTTGGTATACATACATATGGCTTTTTAAACTGTGTATTTTGAGAAAATTGTGGATTCATATGCTGAAATATATTTGGAAGGAAAAGCTACTTTTGTTAAATTATCCTTAGTATAAACTGCTGCATGAATATCTCAACAAATGTATGACCTTCCCCCACACCCCACCCCGACTCTTCTAGGATAAATGGACAACTAGTAGCTCTAAAAGTCATCAGCATGAATGCAGAGGAAGGAGTCCCATTTACGGCTATTCGGGAAGGTAAGTGAGAACCAAGAGATCCGTTGTACAAGTCCTTGATTTGGTGATAAAAAAAAAAAATTCCATTGAGTCTATCCATCCATTCAGCATCTAGCTTTTGATATTTCTAGAAGTAATAGTATAACTGCAACTATATTCTTCATAATAGTTTTCAGAGTATATATATATACTATCATTTTATTATTTATTCCTGAGGAAATTAAGATTCAGAACTATTATATTAGTTGCCCAAGACTATGAACTCAATGAGTATTCCCTAAATACCCTCTGTGTGTTTGGTCCCATGCTAAAAAGTGCTAAGGCTATATCTATATAACCCCAGACAAATCCATATAAAAGAGAAAAAATGATATAACCACACAAATTCCCAGTAGGTAATTTACCTGAAAATCATAAATTGTTTAGATAGCATTTGAAAGACTCTTTGGGAAAGCATGATTTTTTTTTAATTTTTAAAGATTTTTATTTATTTATTTGAGAAAGAGAGAGAGCACAAGCAGGGGCAAAAGGCAGAGGGAAAAAAAAAAAAAAAGGCAGAGGGAGAAGCAGACTCCCCCCTGAGCAGAGAGCCTGATGCGGGCTTGATCCCAGGATCCTGGGATCACAACCTAAGCTGAAGGACAAATTCTTAAACAACTGAGCCACCCAGGTGCCCAAGGCATGAATTTTTTAGTGTTGTGCCTGTGTGTTCTCTGTATCCTGGGGCAGTATAGCAAGTGGGTAAGGAATCTGGTGTCCAATGGACTTGAGTTTGAACCCTAAATCTACCAATTACTATGGTGTGTCCGTGGGTAGATTATCTATTTTAGACCCCAGAAAGAGGACTGAATTTATTGCAGAAAGAGAATAATGGTACCTCTTTTTTTTGAGTTGTTATGAAAATATACATATAAAGCACTTACCACAGTTTCAGAGTTCAACAAATATTGACTATTATTATTCCATTCTTGTTCCTTTCCTTTAGTGATGTCTTGTTCACTATAATTAATAATTTATAATATAAAAATCAAGAAGGGAGCACCTGGGTGGCTCAGCTGGTTAAGCATCTGACTCTAGATTTAGGCTCTGGTCTTAATCTCAGGTTTGTTAGTTCAGGCCCCATGTTTAAAAAAAAACACAAAAATCAAGAAGGCAATATAATGAAAATAAATCATTAAAAATACAATTCATTAACCTTTCACATGAGCCATTTAAAATAATGATGATAGGATTGCTGTCCATTTTAGAAAAAAAACACAAAACAAAACAGAAATGACTCTTCTCTTTTATTTTCTCCCCTTTTAACTACTTTAGCTTCCCTTTTTAAGGGACACATACTATATGCACAGTATATTGCTGGGCCTTGTGAAGGATGAGAAGGAAAAGCCCTGATCTTGGCTCTGTATCATTTTCAGTTTTAACAGAGCAGATGATTCAAGTTACAAAGGTTATAATGGAGGTAAAAAAGAGAAAGAAAGAGAAAGAAAGAAAGAAAGAAAGAAAGAAGAAGAAAGAAAGAAAGAAAGAAAGAAAGAAAGAAAGAAAAAGAAAGAAGAGAAAAAAGAAAGATGTAAATTAAGGTGAGAAACAGTGCATCTCAGTGTGGCTAATGGAGTCAAATTTTGAACTGAGCTAGGAAGGATGGGTTATGCAAACAGGCATGGAAAAAGCAATTTAGAAAATGAGTTTAAAACGGAATTTGATACCATTTACAAAAGTCTTTCAGAGCCCCTGGGAAATATGTCATTTTGAATTTGAGTAGAGGGGCCAAATGGCTGTCAGGTTAGACGGGTATTCATCTTGGTAGGATCAGGTGCATTCTGGAGGAAAGCATGGTTTTAAGTGTTTAATATAATGGAAGCTGCATTTACTAATGTACTTATTAGTGGTCCCCATGAAAGTATGATCAGATTTAGAAAGAGATGTGTGGATAGGTTGAATAGTATTTCTGAACATAATAGAAATCCCCAGGTCACCAATATAATGGGAGAGTCTCTGGCCCAGCTTCACTGCATTTTCATGGCATTGCCTTTGTGCATTGAGTTTGCCTATTACTTCAGGCCTGCCTTTGCTTCAGATTTTGCCCACAGCCAAGTTTTTCAGGTTGACATTTGACTTAACAATGAAAAATTTTGCCAGTTTCGCTCACAGATGGTTCTCAGCATGGTTCAGAAAAGCTGGGTCTGTATTGTTCCGTGTGGTAGATGTTTCTTTTATTGCATATTTACTGAGGAATTGCCTCTCCATCACAGGTGTTTGCAATTACATTTAGTATTCAACTGTGGACTTTCTGGGTTTGTTTTATGGACTTACCTTACTGAACGCTTTGCTTGTATAATATTAAAAACCACAAGAGGATTTTTGACACATTGGAGGTTGTTAGGCATCCATTTTCCAACAATGAATGTTTCTTTTTCCAACATTGAAAAAGCTGGGAGCCCTTGTTAGAGAAGGCCTCTCTCCTGAAGAAGAGATGAGGCCTCATTTGAAAACTTTGGCACTGTCCCATTTTTCCTGTAAGAACTTTAAGGATGTGAGACCAGGGAGACAGGAGGTTAAATGAGAAGGGATGGAAGGCAAAATAAGAACAGCTGGAGTTCATTAGTTAAAATCCAGGGTCACTAGCTAAAAAGGCAACCGAAAGCCACATGCAGAAAAACTGAACAAGTAATGCAGATTTTTTTTTAAAAAAGCCTTGAAGCAGGAATTACTTTTCCTGAACAGTTTGGCTGTTCTGATGGGATATCAGCCAAAGATTTACTGAGTAGGATTTTACTACATGTATGGCCTCTCTCTGTATAAGTAGAATACATGTGGTGGTTCATTAATCTGGTCATTTGGAATGCTATTTGATCTTAACATGTAATATTATGAATTTAGCAAAAGTATGAACAACACTAAGGGAAACATATCTTAATACCCATGCCAGGTACTTTTCATGTGTTGCCTCTTTCAATCCTTTTAACAACCTTTAGAGATAGATATTATTATTACTCCAATGTACAATCATGATTCAAACCAAGTATCTGTAATTCAAAAATTTATACACTCCCTACAAGTGTATATTTGTATATTCTACAAATATTTATTGAGCACCTACTATGGCTAGGCATTCAGATAGCTGCTAGATACACAGTGGGCACATAATACAATGTTCCCTAGCCTCATTCCTTTACTAATTAAAGAGGTTAGCTGCCTTCATAACAACTTGAAAAAAATCTTCCACAAGTGGCTCTAGATTTATATTTTAACTGTTTATATTTACAACCAGGAGAAAATACTTTCATTTGAACAGGTGAATATTTTAAGCTTTTATATAAGTGCACATTCCCTAGTTTTATGAAACGGTGTATCATTACCTTATCTTAATAATGTGCATTATTTTAAATATCTTTCAAAAAATAGAAACTATGGGCAGCCCGGGTGGCTCAGCAGTTTAGTGCCGCCTTCCGCCCAGGGCATGATCCTGGAGACCCGGGATCGAGTCCCATGTTGGGTTCCCTGCATGGAGCCTGCTTCTCCCTCTGCCTGTGTCTCTGCCTTTCTCTCTCTCTCTCTCTCTCTCTGTGTGTGTGTGTCAAATAAATAAATAAATAAATAAATAAATAAATAAATAAATAAATAAAATCTTTAAAAAAAATAAAAATTAAAAAATAGAAATTTTGGTTCAAACCAAAGACTTTCAGCCCATTAGCAGCATTTGTCTAGGAACCAATGATATAAACTTTTATGCGACGAGGCACATGAGTAATCTTTTCTCCCCCTTTCCCCCATTATCTTTTTTTAAAACACTTTACATCAACTCTAGGAGATAAAGCATGTTATCTTTGTTGTGCAGGTGAAGGAATCTGAGCCTCAGAGAGGTTAAGTAACTTGTCTGAGGGCCTCAGAACTAGTAACCAGAATAGTTAGATATTAAAATCCATTCTATTCTAATCCTACTTTATTATGATAAATTTAGAAATCCGTAACTCAAGCTTTTCTCCTTTAGCAAAGTAAAAATAAAATCTGGTTTTTATGATACATTTTGTATAAATATTAGGTAAAATGCAGAAGAAATATTTTAGAGAAAATAAGACTGTATATTTGTCAATTCTGATTCTATCATGTACTTTATAGCACCAGTAACTGCAGCGTTTAAATTAGAAACAGTTTTAGCTGAGGATCTTTTAAGATCATTCTCTAATAGAAAACATTACAAAGTAATTATTCCCAGTCCATATATGAGAAAACTGAGCCAAAAATAGACTAAGGAAACTCCCCAAGGTCATACAATGAGGTAGAAAATACTGATAAGAACCGCTGACTTGCCTGTTACTGCAAATAGACTGCAGGAGTCCTGGTTGACAAGAAGTCCTCCATTGAATGCAATCAAATCACATCACAGACATAGCACATTTTCATATGCATAGTTACATTTTTATAAAACAAAATGATGTCAGGATGATGATATGTGATCAGATTACAATTGCAAAGAAATCAGGTAAGTAGTTATCTAACGTGTGTCTTAACATTTATTTAAATTTATCTAGATTTCTTTTCAGATAACTACTTAGCTAACATTTATCTTAACATTATCTAGATTTCTTTTCTTAGAACGAATAACTCGACTCACTTACTTGACTTGTGATGCCCAGGCCAGAAGGAATGTAATGTCTTTTTAATTCAACATCCAGTGGAGGTTGGGGAGGGAAATTGACTCCATTATTAACTCCTACATAAACTCAATTACAACAGTTTGGTCTTCATTAATTCACAAGCACTTATTGAGCACCACATGCCAGGCCTGTGCTAGCTGCTGGAGACAGGGACAATCCATGCCTTCCAAAGCTCACAACCAGCCATTCACTATGTGTAGCTATTCCCTAGGACTTTGAGAGCCAGCCTTGTTCTTCCTTGTCATTGTCGCCTTCTACATAAACTAAAGCAGTGCTTGCTTCGGCAGCACTTATACATAAACTAAAGCAGTACACTGAAGAGTAACATCAAAACATCACGACCCATTGCACTTGGAAAGCATC